TTAACCATCACGTGATTGTCCGGCTATTATCCAATCATACGATCTATTTCAACGAAGTGAATTCTAATGGCGTCAACAATTGCTTGAAACCTGTATGAACAACTAAAGATGGGGGGGGGGGGGGGGGGACGACGACTACGACGACTACGACGACGACGACGGAACCTTAGATCAGAACGAGATAATTCTTAGGACACATTCACACAGTTCACAAAGAACAACAGTTTGCTTAACTTGTCTGGTATGAAATAGTTTGCTATAGTACCCCCTCCTCCCCTTCCACAACAAGTCATAGCTTGCCTCCTTCAAACACTGCCTTCATCATTCAAACTACTTAAATCTCTAAAAACATCGCCTACCCCCCCCCTATCCACACCCTGCCAGCGACCATTACCAACGCCCCATATCCCATCATTCTCCTCACCATATCATCATCACGTGACATGTAATAGATGTAATATCTGAACACCGCCCCCTTAAACGGGCGTTTCATTTGTAAGCCGATAGCTCCAGGTTTTTGATTGGTGTGTAATTTGAAAATTGGTAAATTATCGAAATATGAACGGTTGTCCTTTTGAGGCATTACGAAATAACGTGCAATCATAGAGTAACTTGTTTGTTAAAATGTAATATTTTTTGTTTGGCCATAATGTTTAAACTTAAAAATTACTTTTGATTTTCTTTAATTCGTATATATATATATATAGGCCTATATATATATATATATATATATATATATATATATATATTATATATATATATATATATATATATATATATATATATATATATATATATATATATATATATATATATATATACATATATATATATATATATATATATATACATATATATATATATGTGTTTAGATGTAATGTTTGATTATAATGTGGCTTTTTGTAACATAACATACCTTTGATTTTCCTGTTGATAATGAACATAGATGCATGCTCAAGAAATGCTTATTTGAAAGATGCTTCTCTGCCCAATCGGTTTCTGACTGTATAACATGTTCATACATGTCTATTGGTGGTATGGGTATGTTTTGGTAGAAATAAATGTAAGACATGTATAGACAACAATCTAACACCCCATCTAAACATTTAACAGATTGTCTGATGGGCCGGCATCGCTATAATAGACAGATAACTGCCGCCTTCTGGATTCTTTCAACAGCTGGATGTCGTAGTGTCAAATTAATTTCATTTAAAAGACGTCCAAAACTCTAAGCTCCCTGGTTTTTTCACTAATCTAAGATCATGTCTTGTCTTCTTTCACTTTACCTAAGAAATAAAAATTCAAATAATTCCGGCAAAATTAACTCCCCTATTTTGAAAATTGGGTTACATTGTTTTTTCTCAGTTATTTCCCCTCGGTTGCTAAATCTGGTCGAGTGTCGGTTGTTTAATGAGCAGTTCGTCTCACACATTTTTCTGTGTGTCTACTGTTTATTGTCTTATTAACATGTATTGTCTCACCCCCCTCCCAAATCTATCAACTTATCCTCTAGTCTACAGCCTTATTTTATAGTCCAGACCTCTACACTCTTTAGAGCTACTTTTCAACCTAGCCTCACATATAAACCCACCCATAATAAACCCATTGATTTTCCCACTTATTTACCCGCGTATAGACCCATCTATAGACCCACAGATATACCCACCGTTATACCCCTCATAAGACCCACACAGAAACCACATACAAACCCACCTATAAACTCACCAATAGTCCAACTTCTAGGCCCACTTACATACCCACCTACATACCCACCTATAGACCCATCTCTCGATACCTAATCATCAAGCCAGTAATTCTTAATTGGTTTTCAAAAATCTACCTCCCTCAACATAACAAATTACTTAGAGGTCTTAAAGACTAAAAGAGTGTTAACTAAATTTTACTCACGATAATCATCTATACTTCCATATTAATTTTAATTGGATTTGTAATTAAACATTTTTCTTATTGATAATCTGGGGAGTTACCTGTTTGAATGCCCCCCCCCCCCCTCCCCCCACCCCTAACACACATGTAAGCACCATTTCCTGCCACCATTCCCAACGACCTTTGATCTTAAAGTCCTGTCAGTCACATCTTTGTACCTGTAGAGCAGCCGTCAGATAGCTCAGCTTGTGAACGTGAGTAGGTCCGCACGTGTTTAACACGTTACGCCCCACTCAGCATTCTAGACCACGTGACCTGTAAAGTATCCACTCTATACATTTTAATTTCTTGTTATGTTTGTCTTCAACTTCTCTTAACATCACAATGTTCATTTGATCCTAGAACAAAAACGAAAACATTCTTAAACCTCAGGTCGAAAAATACGTTTTACAAACCCATCCATTCGTTTGTTTAAATTCCTTCCCTGAACATACTCAAATATAATAGAACAATATTTTATCATATGTTAGCCCCTGATATCGTACTTCTTCCTCGAACCCTTTGGTCGAATTCTCACCTAAACGAACACCATCAACACTATTTCCACCCCTGCCCCCAGACACTCACGCCAGGAAACTATAGCAATGAATCTCTTCCTTCTCTTAAAACTAAGACCAATCTGCCTGTATAACCCACAATCACAAATACAATGTATTTGCTCTACTAACACCTACCGTCGTACACAAGCAAATCCTTCAATACACTAAAATCTTACACATACAAACCTCAGCTGTGTCTTACTAAACTTCCAGGTCTTTCCCAAACTTGCCTAAAAAAATCTCCCACGCCCAACCCCAGCAATCGTAAAAGCGCCCACACAGTCGCTACGCACCCTACCACCACAAAACTAAACACACAAATAGTCTAACCTCCCCTACACCCCCATACACCAGAGAACCCCCATACATACCCTCACGCCCCACCCATACTCCACCCACAAACACATACTCCCCTTTAAGCTCCATCATCCCAACTCCCACGCCCCAGTAACCCCCCCCCCCCCCAGCCCCACCCCTGGCTAGCAGCAGGCATGTTCCAGCCAAACCCTCCCAGCCAACTAAGTGTTGCCTACCCACGCCATTAGCGCGAGGTGTAACAAGATGGACACATGCCAAATATTTTCACATCTCTTCCAAATTTTATTTATCGCTCGCTCTTCTTTCCGCGTGTTACGTGAAAAAAACAAACGTATTGCTCATTCGCGGAATAACACAAGAATCTATAAATAGTTTGTGAATCAGACGACTTTTTTTCATTCCAACACAAAACGTGCTCTAACGAGAAGTAACAAAACGATGTATAGATTGTCTGTGAATCACTTGATGTATTTCGACTCAATACGATTTTAAAAAAAATAGATTGAGTCATGTGACATTACGTGTGTTTTGAGTCAGTGTGAGCACTATTGAACTGATACACCTGATCCAAGTTTAACAACAATAGGGCTGGTAAGTAGGTAACCAACCAGTTCTATAGCTATTGCAGGTTTTATTGAGCCGTAGAACTGGCTGGTGACCTACTTACCAGCCCTATTTCATATTATTTTACATTTTATCCCACAGCTATTTATCTAAACTCATCGCTAGTAACTTCAGAAATCAAAATGTTCTCTCAGATTGATGGGGTCAAGTTACCTACTACTACAGGAAACTGAGCGGATGTCACCAGTGTGTTAGGTCAGTGAGTCACCACGACATGTGTCTCGAGTTGTCAGTGACACGAGAGATGTCACTGACACGAGAGATGTCAGTGACACGTGATGTCACTGGTACGAGATGACAATGAAGAGCTGTTAGTGACACTATAACTACAAAACTTGAAACGTTTTTTACCTCTAGCTTGAAGCTCGAGGAACCAAACTGTCGGCCAAAGAGTAGTTTCTTGAGATCGCGCTGGGATATTTCTATTTTTAAACCTATTTTTTAGCCCAGTTAAATTATCGTCTGAATAAAACGTCTGACACAGCTGTCTCAGTCTAAATCCACACTCGGGGTTACCTCCCATTTCCCTGCCGATCTACATGGATAAATTTATCCTAACAGAATCCCCACTCTTAGTGATACTTTTTTTCTTTGTCCTTTTACATTACGTCATACCACGTGTAACGGTTAAGAGTGCATTGACTGACGCAATAAATGATTTACAGTTTTTTTTCAATACATCATAAAAAAAAAACGCTCATTGATAGACGAAAATAAACTTTGATATACAGCAAATAATATTTTTTTTCGTTAGTTAGTATGATGTGCAGAATAGAGGGTGTATGATGTAGGGTGTATGATGGGTGTATGATGGGGGGTGTATGATGGGGGGTGTATGATGGGGGGTGTATGATGGGGGGTGTGTGATGGGGGGTGTATGATGGAGGGTGTATGATGGAGGGTGTGTGATGGGGGGTGTATGATGGGGGGTGTATGATGGGGGGTGTATGATGGGGGGTGTGTGATGGAGGGTGTATGATGGGGGGTGTATGATGGGGGGTGTATGATGGGGGGTGTAGGATGGGGGGTGTGTGATGGAGGGTTTAGGATGGGGGGTGTGTGATGGAGGGTGTGTGATGGAGGGTGTATGATGGAAGGTGTGTGATGGAGGGTGTGTGATGGAGGGTGTATGATGGAGGGTGTATGATGGTGTATGATGGAGGGTGTGTGATGGAGGGTGTGTGATGGAGGGTGTATGATGGAAGGTGTGTGATGGAGGGTGTATGATGGAGGGTGTGTGATGGAGGGTGTATGATGGAGGGTGTATGATGGTGTATGATGGAGGGTGTGTGATGGAGGGTGTATGATGTAGGGTGTATGATGGGGGTGTATGATGGGGGGTGTATGATGGGGGTGTGTGATGGAGGGTGTGTGATGGAGGGTGTATGATGGAGGGTGTGTGATGGAGGGTGTATGATGGAGGGTGTGTGATGGAGGGTGTATGATGGAAGGTGTGTGATGGAGGGTGTATGATGGAGGGTGTGTGATGGAGGGTGTATGATGGAGGG